GTTTTACCTGAAACCCCTCTCTGTAGCTGGACTCCGGCTCCATGTGCAGAAAATCCACCTGGCCGCTGAACGAGTTCAGGAAGTCCAGGTGCAGGCCATGTTTGGTCACCTGCAACCCCGACATGCAGAGCTCATTTAAAGACGCAACTCTTTCAGCTCAAGTCGCATCCGCAGTGAAGCAAAAGGAAGCCTTCGTCACCTTTTTGATGGTAGCTTTGACCGTGAGGCCCGGCAGGAGGTTGGTGAGGGTCCAGCCCTGTTTGGCGTTAGCGGAGGCCCGAGCCGCCGCGGAGAGCCGGACGACGCGGCCGTCGTTCTTTACTTCCTCCACCCGAGAAGTCACATACTGACCCACTTTAAGCTCTGCACGGAGAACACGCCGATATTTAAGAAATGTTTCCTAACTGAGGACTTTTTGAAGCTGTAAAGCTGAGTTCAGGTCATTTTGGGGGTTTTTACCGTCACTTTTATGCTGTTTGCTCTGTGTAGCATCCTCGGGCAGGAAGGCTTTTGTTCCACTCACACCAATGTCAATTATAGTGCCATGATCTTCGACACTCTCCACGCACCCACTCAGGACCTGATTCATTGAGACAAACGTTAAAAAAACAGTCAAAGCATCTTATTGTTTTGTTAAAACTGCTGACATTCACTCCAGCTCACCATTCCAGGCGTCAGAGAGCTCGAGGTGAGGCTCTTGTTGACCAGCTTTGGATTGACAGACAGCTGAATGCTGAGCGAGCCTCCTTTAGTGATGTCCATTTTGGAAACCACGCATCGGAGCAGCATTCCCGGCCAGAAGATTTGGGACAAAGAGCAGAACTCCTGCGAAGTCAGAGCGCAAACGTACAGCGTGCTTAGACACTTTTTTCATCACACGACGTTAATAATATAATGAATTTTACAGGAATTTCATGCGACACATCAACACAATGTAGAGGAAAGATTTTATCTGGACTTCAGTTAAAAAATTTTTTAAAGTTGGCAGAAAATTAGAAAATGTCACTTTGTAATAATTATCTGTTATTGGAAGGAAGATTAATATCTGAACACCAACTATAAAGTCCTAAAAAATGCAAACATTAAAAAAACAACAAATAAATAAGCAATGCTCAGCCTGGCGGGGGCACAAGAAAGGCCTGGTGGCCCACCAGGCTTATAATACGCTGGGGGAAACCCTGACTTTACATCGCCGTAAGCTGCTGAATGTGTCAGACGGACATCGAACAGTTCCGACTGAATTAGTCACCTCGTTTTCAACGTCCGAGTCCAGCTGCTCGCTCAGCAGCTTGGTGTAGGCCTCACAGACGTTCCTGATGCTGAGGAAGCCTTGCAGGCCACAAGGAAGGCTGACGGTCACCTCGAAGTCAGCCACCTCCTTCACACAGCCCAGTAACAGCATCCCCTCTCTCACGTTCTGGGTTAAGACATGTCGCACAATTTAGCTCGACTGACAAAATAACCAGAAGTAGAAATCTGACCAAGGGTTAAACATTTACAGGAGATGGGTATGTCTCTCACCTTTATGTGCAGAATCTCCACGATGTTAGCAGCAGCGTTGAGCGTCAGGCCACCTTCTTGCTCTTCTGTCTTTTGCTTTTTGACTTTCGTGTTGCCTCCCTTTTTTTTCTTTGTTGTCGTTTGTTCATCTGACTGCTAAAGGGAGGAAAAAAATAGTTCAAGATGGGTTAACTTTTCTGGTCGGAGACGGGATTGTAGAGGAGCTTATTTGAACAACGTGGTGATAATGAAGTTTTTTTTTTTTTTTTTACCTGAAACAGGTTGTCCACTTTAGTCCGTTCCACCGTGACTTTACTGTCGGTGGACTTCTTTGTTTTGCCTCCACGAGGAAAATCCTCCTCTACCGACGCCATGTTGGATGAAGCTGGGGATGTCTATGGTTTGAAGAAGTTTCAGTCGACACAAGGAGTATATCCAAATCTCCAAAACGCTGCAGACACACACACACACACACACACACACACACACACACACACACACAAAACAAGAGATTAGATCATAACACTATACGGAGAGCATTTACTTGGCTATTTTGAAGACAATAGCTAATAAAAACCCCAAATTCTGTTCCTATTTTATACAAGATGAACAATAAGATTTGTTAAATGTGTGTATAAGAAGACTGTCTTTACCTAGCACCCTCAAGAAACACAGTAAGCCTCAAAAGGTTCTCGCTGTTCCCGGACTAATGTATCCAAGCATATTAATAGAAAGTTCAGTGCAAGAAAAAAAGTTATGTTAATGCCTTAAAAAGACTGGAAAACAAATTCAGTCTGAGAGTTTGGAGGAGACCCACTAGATGGAAATAACAAGACTATATAAAAATCATTTTACGTTTCATTTGGAAATCAAAATCCCAGCGTTTGGAGGAAGGGTGCAGATGAACAGGACTCAAGTTACTTGAGGTCAGGTGTGGAGCTTCCACAGTCAGTAGTGGTTTCATCTGTTGCTCCATTGTGTTTCAGAGCAGACACTTTATGCCATAATATATACATTTGCTGGATAATTTATTTACCAGCAGCACACTGACAAAATTGTGTTAAAGATTAGTAATTTATGCAAAAGGAGCCCCGATCAAGTATTGAATTGAATGAAAACTTTACGATGTTACAGTACTAAAAGTATTTTTTTTAATTCTGGTCTTGTATAATAATCTAATTTTCTAAGAAAATGCATTTTGGATTTGCATTAGTAGTAAGTCAAAATCGTTGACTGAAATAAACATAACTTCAATTACAATGCATACATGGTTGCCATTTTCTCCGTAGTCCTTTATAATATTAATACTTAAGACATAAAAAATATGGCTCACTAAAAATCAACTAAAACGCAGTAAATAGTTTAATCTTAACCGAAATGGAGCAGTCAGCACTTCGAAAAAGCTCTCATCTTCCACCGACTGACTAAAGTCTAACTACATGAACATCAACAAGATCCGGGGAAGACAGTAATTCTCTCCTGAAACATTATGTCTTCCTTTAAAGATAAATATGTAAATACAATACCTGACTTCAAGATATTTATGTATAGTTAGACTTAGTTTTGCCCATGCAGCAACTCACATGTTTTTCAGCAACACGCCATCATCCCAACCCGGAAGAAAAACTAGTCAGGGCGGTCCTTCTGTTTTCCAATCACGGTGGAGAATTGATGATGGATAGTAATTTAACCCAATCAAAGATCGGCTCTGAGCCCAGAAATGAATGACGTTGTTTTCAACCAATAGCCAATCGCATCTGGACTGCTGATAGTGGGCGGGACTTCCTGGCAACTTTAGCATTGCGGCCTCTGTTGAAGGGCACTTGTCTCAATCAGCTAGCTCAGGGGTCGTGTGTTAAAGGTAAGCTACGACACATTTATGCTTTAGTTACTTGATCCTTTTTGGTTTCAACACGTGAAAAGAACAAACATGTCTTTGTAACTCCTTTGTTTTGACGGAACGGTCTGGTAACGTTCGTGAATGTCTACTTAGCTTGGAAGCTAACTCTGAAAGCTAACATTGACTTCACAGTGTGTTAACTTGTTTTTCTGTTTAGTTACATTAATTCTTAGTTAATAAGTATAGGGTTACTCTGACCGGTATCTTACGATGACAAGTATTAGATTAGAATACGACCTAATTAATATTGCAGTATTTTTGCATTTCAGTGAAGACGTCAAACCTCTTACTTAGTTAAATCTGCTTTAATTTTCAAACAGTTTGTTTATTTATTTTTACTAAAATACTAAGTGTTTTAGATTTTTCCATGTCTTTCCGTTAGCTTGACGTTGGATGATTTAAAACAACAAAACTGCTTGAAATATTAGCAGCAATGACTGTACTTGCATGAAACCTGCTGTAATCGGTTATACAGAAATTGGATTCTCCTTAACAAATCAGAATTTATTTTTAAGAAAGATTAACAATAGCACCGAGTTAAACTATAGAAACTTGCCAACGTTTAAACATTGGCAAGTAGGGGTGGTGGATGTTGAGTTAAATTTTTATCACGATAGTTTTTTTGGTATTATTGTGATCAGAATAAGTGATTTATGTATATATATTTTTAAAAACTATCTTTTACCTCTGCAGTATTTTGTGTAACTGGCTGTGACTGCACTGCACAGGAATCACAATCACCGGTTACATAAAGAAAATTGACTTTTATTATTAAAATGCAAAATGTAACTATTTATATTTAAAAATGTATTGATCCTCTCATAGAAGACATGGAAACACTGGAGAAATTTGTTAAATAACAATTCCAAAAATACTGTCAATTTTTTATTTATTTTTTAAAAATATCATTCATCATAAACTAGCATCGGTAATTGATTGTGCTGTTATATTGGCTCTTATGTTTGTGGCAGGACCATACTTTTAGCCAGAATGGCAGGACACGACGCGGGGAATCAGCACCAGTTCACTGGACTTGCCAAACACTTCAATTCATACACAATCGTCGGAAGGAGGAACGTAAGTTCTGTTGATGTTTAACCCTAAAGTTTGAATTGAAGCTTCAAGATTTTACATGTGCAAACTGCTCTAGCAGCACCAAAAATAATTTGAACACAAGTAGTTCTTTGAACAGGATGACTCACAAAGCAAGAATCAAACCTGAACGACGCATGTTTTATTGTAAAGTTAAAATTAGTACTTGTTTTAATACTTCCGCCTTTGTTTTTTTATTTTTTAGTGTGTTTTGGCCACTTACGCCAGCCTTGCAGCCATCTTCCTTTTCTTCAAATTGAAGCCCAAGAAAAAACCTGCCGTCACAGAGAAGTAGTTATGTAAGTATATTCAGCTATTTCTATGCTGCAAGCTATTTTCAGTTCCGATTATTTATAGCAGATGGTTTTCTCGACAGGTTTTCGTTTGATCTTCATTTCTAACTGCTTGGAGTGGAGAGAGAGAGAGAGAGCAGCTGGACATGCTTGTAATAAAATATGTCTATTTGGTTTCCTTGTGTAAACAATAAAGAAAATGTACGCTCTGGACATAGAAAACACTTTGTTTTTATTTACAATGTGCATCAGTATAAAAGAATATGTTACAAAGATGAAAGCCATGTTTTGAGGTAAACTGTGAAGTCATGGCAGTGATTTATAAAAAAAAAAAAAAAAAAAAAAGGGTCAATGAGGCAGTTTACAACTGCAACAGTTAGCTTTGTTCTGGGAACCTGATTGGTCAACCGATTACTACTTCAGTCTGTTAGCCAGAAAAACTGATGACGTTTATTTGTACAGCTCAGAGGTTAGTGATGTGCATCATGTCAAGCTTTAAATGATTTCTCCTCCCTCCCCGATGGTCCAATGCTGTTATGGATTATAAGCTCCTGCGGCCAGAAGCAGGTTCCTCCGTGTGAAGTGAAGGTGAACTACAGGCGTCGATTTGGTCATGTAGGTCCCCAGCAGAAGCTCCTGGGAGTTATCCTGCAGGTGGATGTGTCCCGTAGCCGCAGTGAAGTCATCCGTTTCTAAATCGTCAAATGCTTTCGTCGCATCCCACAGGCGAACCGTGTTGTCCATAGAACCTAGAACGGCCGAAACGATGATCACTAATTAAAGCCAGTGTTGCTTTTATTTAGCCAATTTAAAGCGTGCAAGTGAGATGATGAGCACCCACCGGAGCCAAGGATCTCTCCATCCCTGCTGAATCTGAGGGAGTAGATGCACTCTGTGTGACCCTTGAGCTCTCCGACCATCAGTCCGTGACCGATGTCCCACAGGAGGACTCTGCCATCAGTGGCTCCCGAGGCCAAAAACTTCCCATTAGGAGAGAACGCCAACGCGTGGATGGGACCCTGGTGGATTGAGAGGAGAAAAAAAAAGTCCAGAAGCTGTGGTTTCTTATTTGTATCGCTAACAGGACCTCATGTTCGTGTTAACTTAAGCTCAAAAAGAAATTGAGGTCAGAAAGAGTGAAAAGTCTCATTTTATTTCTGATGCATTTCTCTTTTTTTTTCTTTAAAAAGACCAATTTACAGAACTACAGAACTATTAATTGAAGTTACTATTTTAGCAAACATGAGCCATCATTGCTTTCTGTTTTCAACATAAGCAATAATATCATGTTAAAATTTTTTGTGTTTTTCTGTAAAAATGCATTTCCATCCTTAATCTCCTCCAGACTGTCATAGCATGAGAATCCTTCCCATTTCTTGCAAATGCCGAGCTGAAAAATGGCAGCTGCCTGTTCCTGTGAAATCTCACCTTGTGACCGGTGAAAATACGGACGCAGTTTCCGGTGAGGACGTCCCACAGACGGATGGTGCGGTCAGACGAGCCTGTGGCCACGTAATTTGCGTTGGGGTGGAAGCGAGTGCAAGTGACGTCGGCCAGGTGACCGGCGAATATCCGCAGCGGCTGGTGGTGATCAGTCGCCCACAAGCTGCAGGAGAGAGAGAGAGCGCAAAGGAACAAGTCTCTACATTGAGCTGCGACATGTGGCTTTCCTCTACAGACACACAGAACTGCAGGTGTGTTGAAAGCGTTTCTTACCGGGCGACCCGGTCGTGCCCCCCGGAGATGAAATAATATCCGTAAGGCGAGAACTGCGTGTCCCACACTGGGTAGTTGTGGCCTTTGTATCCCACCAGACAGGTGAAGGTCAGGAGGCTCCACAACCTGACCGTGCCGTCTTCAGAGCATGACAGCAAGTAGTTTCTGAAAAGGTGAAATGGTCAGAAATCTTTCTGTCCTTCAAAATAAAATAAAAACTCAAAACAAAATGTTCACTTATTTTTATTTTACGACACAATATTAACATTTTTACTGCTAAAATTCAAGCCTGTACCTCAATGAAGAGCAAAAATATAACATTGGGGACAGGACAGAATCAACATAATCAAACATGGCAACTGCTAAGATGCTTTCTTTATATGAATCAATCAATCAATATATGAATGTACCTGCAGTGCAAAAGTCCTGATTCTTCCCTTATCTCTCTACATTTCACTTTATGTGAACAAAGAGTTTATTGTAATCGTTTAAAGTTGTTTTGATCAATGTTTCTTCAATCTTTCTGAACTTACTCCAGTTTGCCTTTGGACTTTAGATGCTTGCCAAACACTTTCTATCCACTGACTGATGATTTTTAGAGGAAATAATTTTTTTTCGGTAATTTTCAGTTGAGCATATTTTTCTCATGAGGTTTTATCCTGGTCAAGTTGATCAAAACTGTACCTGTCTGGGCTGAAGCTGATGCCATACACAGGTCCACTGTGTCCATAGAGGCACTTTGACTCACTGGCCGTCTTATCGTCCATAATCCTCTCAAGAACATCATCTGACTCTTTGTCAATCAGATTCAAATCTTAAAGAGGGAAAACACACATATAAAAGTAAAGTTTTATTTTGAAACTATGTCACAATATACAGGGTTCACACATTTTTTTTCCACAATAAACTTCAAACACTTTCAAGGTAAGTTTTTAAACTTTTTCAGCACCACACTTTATAGATACAAACACTGCAAATTAGCTAAAAGAAATTATTGTTTCAATTCACTATTATATGATATTACTTATTATTACTGTTAATGATAATGTCTTGTGATAGTTTGTTTCTTCTGTAAAATGTAGAATACTAAAATATAACATTTTATATTTTGAAGACTTCGTCACACACACCCTATACACCCGATTAGTCTAAGAACAAAACACTAATTTATTTTTAAAAAGTATAACATATAAAACAACATTTATTTCAATAACACAGAGCAGTAAATCACTGAGACATTAGGAATAATAAATATTAATTTCATTGAAACAGTCCAAATAAATCATGTTAAGGTAAATTGGCTTCCCGCTCAAATTAAATGCTAAACATAATATACAAAGAAAGTTACAGAAAATATGCTTTAAAACGCTAAGTTTTCTATTTAACAAATAGAAATTACTTTGGTAATTTTATCTAACCTAAAACAAGAAAAGTTTCGACTGATTTAACTTCAGACAGTGAGAAAAAAAAATCTGTCTTTTATTAGGTGTGTAAAAATATCTGGTTTCAACTATAAATAACGTTTTTCAAATTAGGCTCTTAATCAAGCAGTAGATTGCGCTTTATCTTGCACACTGCAAGTGTCCTTGCAGTGTGCAAGGACACTTTCAAGGTCCTTACACAGAAATCAAGCGCTTTATAAACCTTGAAAACATCATTTTAATTGAAAACACTGTACGAAGTTTGTCGTTAAAGCCCTCATCGCTGATTGCGGCAGGTCTTACCTGCGGCGGTCTTGACCTTGCGGAGCTTCTTCGGCGTGACGCTCCACACCCGTACCGTGGAGTCAGCGAAGCCCCCTGCGATCAGACTGGAGTCGTCCGTTACGTCAACCGCAGTTAGACCCTGAAGGGGCGACGTGACAAAAAAATAAAAAAAAATAAAAAATTTAAATCTGATTGCTACCAACTGGTTCGTCCCGACAACTCCCATGAAGTGCAAACAGAGTCCGCAGGTCATTTGAGGTCATTTGCCTGGTATGCGTTGAGAAAGGTGTAGAAGCAGATGGAGGGCAGGTTGTCAGGTCCCAAACGAATTCTCTTGGTGGACTCCTTCATGTACATGATCTTGTCCAGCTTGTCTGAGTCTTTTAGTTCTGGTAGAGGTATTCTAAAAAAAAAAAAAAAAAAAAAACGTCAACCACTGAGAAACAAATCCTGATGAAGAATGAGAATCTGCTGTACTGTTCTAAAGTATCAACATCCAGTGAACTTTTTCCACATTTTTCATGCTACAACAAAATTTCAATGAATAAGGTTTTGTCCTTTCTTAATAAAATATCTCAGCAGATATCCATTTTGTTCACAGAAATTCGTTATTATACAGGGAGGATACAATGTGAGAGAGTCTAGAGGCAGGCATGAATTAGGAATGCACACATGGTTGTACCTGGTCTGTGAAGGAGCGTTTGGATCCTGCTTCTTGCTTTTGGAGCCGGTGCTGTCCTTTTTGGGCTTTTTCTTCTTGGGTTTACCTTCCTCGTTCTCTGCTTCCTCATCCTCATCATCAAGGGGAAGCTCGATTTCTGGCTCCTTCAGCAGGCCATAGTAAACCTACACAAATTAAAAAGAAAACAAACAGACAAGTTAAAAAAAAAAAAGTATGAGAGAAAGGTATAAAGCAAAAATATAATTTAATTATCCAACCTTGGCCTTATTTGCTTCTCGTTTGGCCTCTCCAGCCAAGCTGCCGGACATGGCGTCGATCTGGCTCTTGCTGCGCGGCATGCCATCGAAGATGTCGATGTAGAGGTGCTCTTGGATGATATTCCATATCTGGTTGTTCTGGCGCTCCTGCAGGTGTCTCTTCAGCAGCTGGTAGGAGTCGCGGGAGATGCGCAAAACGAACTTGCTGGTGCGGAAATCCAGCAGCGTCTCGTTCCCTCTCATGTGCTCCTTCTTCGTAAGGCTTGACAAAATGCGTAGGTCCTCTTCGTAGTAGCACTCCTGGTCCCCGCTGAACCTAAAAACGGGGGGGGGGGGGGGGGAAAAAAAAAAAAGAGGGGGGGATGGGGTTATTCAGCCAAAAATATCCTGAAGACACTCACTTTTCAAAGAAGGCCTTAGCCTCGCCTTCATGATTGTTGTAGACCAGTTCCAGGTACATGTGGACAAACAGAGGGTAGAAGACCTGAGACAGTTCTGCTCTGTGGCAGTCCAGAACCGACTCGATGAACTTCTTCAGACCGCTGTAGTAAACTTCATATAGAGCTGGGTCTCCCTGCTGGCTGTAGGCTGACAGAACCACGTTGACGTCTGGCTGATCCTCCCCAGCTGCTGACAGAAACAGATTTTCCATCGTTGGTAGATTGAACTCATCTAGGCAAAGCTTCTGGCTTCTAAAAACTTAAATGTGACTTCAGGGTTTCCACGCACTTTAATATCAAAATTGGGATTTTGTGAGTTTTCAGTTCAGATTTTAAAGCAAGAATACTAAAGTTTAACATGAATCTACTGCATGCACGTTTTAGACAATGGGATAGGAGAAAATACGACTGCATATGGAAATATGTTTTCCACTCTGTTTTCTGTTTTTGAAGCATTTCAAAATTGGAAAACATTTAACTCAAATTCCAAACTTTTACAGGCATTTGCTAGTAACCAGGGAAAATGATGCAAAATGCTTCAGAAACTGTATAACATTACAGAACACAACAAGTTCATCTATATATTCAAAGGGTGTCAAACACATTTTCATTGTGGGTCATATCAAGATCATGAAAGTCCTCAGAGGGCCGATTTGTGACAAAATATATTAATAAAACTACCTATTAAAACAGGTAAAATGTTAAGAAATAGATGTCTTCTTTCAATGAGTACTTGTTGAAATTAAATAATGTAGAACATAATTTCAAACTGATGTAATTTGACAGAATACAACTAAAAACTGCTTTGATTTGATTGACACAGTAATATTTCAGCACACACCTGCTATCTTGAAGGTTGTTTTTATGTATCCTTCCAGAATCTAGAGGGCCGCACAAAAACCTATGGAGGGCCAGATTTGGCCCGCCGGCCTTGAGTGTAACACATGTGATACATTCTATCAATTTTCTGTGGAAAAAAGTAAAACTAACAGCGCAAAACTCAATATGTTGGGCATATCTGTGTGAATGTTTGACTTTACAATATTGGCCCGGTTCGGTTATAATCTCTAAATGTATTACTAAACAGATTAACTTGCTGTTGCTTCTAAATTAACACCAGAGATATTTTCACCCCGTTTCCACACACTTAACATGAGTTGGAGTGAACTGTACCTTTGGTTGGCGCCTTAGCTCCGCCGGGAGCAGAGACGGTCACCCGGCTGAGCAAAGCGCTCGCATCCCCACCGTCTATGTCCGCACCACTTCCCAGCCCAGAACCGGCGGAGTCAGCCCCCTTTGGATCCAGAGCCTCCTCCGGCAATCCCGCCTCGCGACGCAGAATTTCCGCGGACTCTGACAGTTTGTTCTTTCTGAGGAACTGCAGCACAGCCAGCAGGGTCTGCTGGTCCTCAGGGGCTCCCGCCGCCGGCTTGTTGTTTCCAGCCGCAGCGCTGGAGCCGGGGGACGCAGAGAGCACTCCCGCGTCGTTGGCGTGATTATTTCCGAAGCCATCGGTCGCTGGTTCTGTTTTAATGTCGGCTTCGTCTTTCGCGTCGACTATACTACCCTGTACGGCCGCCATTTTCAGAATGAAATGCGCATGCGCGAGATTGAAAAACGGAAACCGCCAATTGCATGACGTCGAGTCACCTGATTGGTTTAAGAGCATGTCAGTCAAATTTGAAGCGTCTAATTAAGTCCCGCCCCTTTCTCTCAAGATTCAACTCTGGTTTCACAGCTGTGGGACTAGTACCACTGGTTGCTGCTTAGTGGTACTCTGAGGAAGGATATTGTTGGCACAATCTTTTGCAAGTTGGACACAAACAAACTGTCATGTATGCCTACTTAGCGTGATGTTTATTTTAACTAACTTGAACCAGAATTTGCTGCTTGTGGCAGCAGCATGTTACTTTTGATTTGTTCATTTCATAGAATTTTGTTCATAATCTTATTGGATGAGGGGATGCATGTTTGGATAGTTATTCCCTGTAGTTTTGAATGCTGTGCATAAAAGGATTTTTACTCATGCTTTTTTTTTTCACTTTCAGAGAGTTGCTATGATGTGTGACCGCGGCCACAAAGTATTGTTTTCGAGGAGCGCCTTATTAACATCTCCAAAGCCCAAATAAAACCTGAACTGCAACCCCAAATTCCAATGGAGTTGAAAAGAAGGCTTTGTGGATGCAGAGCATGACCAAACAACAAAGAGGAGAAGAAGGAAAGTCAAGCAATCTCTTCCATTGATCACAATAGGCAACGATCATATACCAGACTCCATCATCCCTCTACCTGATGTTCTAACCATACAGAAAGACAGGGATTTAAAAAGGAGTGGAAAAAGCAAATGAGGCGGATTAGCAGTGCTTGCTCACAATGTTCTACAGTGGAAATGAGTTTTGCAGTAGTTGATCTCAGCCCCTTAGTTCCAGTAAAAATGATTCTTCAGCAGACAAAGACATTTTGGGCAATTCGACTGAGGTTAAACATTTTTCAACTTCCTAAAAACAGTCTTGATTGTTTCTATCCTATAAAACCAATCTCTTTTTTTTTTTTTTTGCTAACTTTCAGCTGATTACTTTAAGTGTATCCTGCTGTACCTTTATGCTTAGTATCAGTATTAGATGTGTGCTTTTTTGCACCAGAAGGGGGCACTCTTTACTCACACGACCAACTCACTCTCAGGTATGTCAAGATTTAAAAAGAAAGAAAAAAAAAGAAATATTTTCCCCCATTAAAACTGTTGAATTACATTTTTATCTACAGTCACAGTGAATAAATAACAGCATAGAATTGGCAAATTTTGTTCAAAGGTATTCCCTGATAGCTGTAAATTATAGTGACGTCAGGCCGCCAGGGGTAACCTGACAGTTAATTTCTCCAGGTGATTAGTAAAATGACATAAACATAATTTATTATTCTAATTATAATTTATTATCGTGAAACACAATTTTGTGCAGCAAAAAGAAAACAGAAATACTAGAGTCTCATTTGAGTAACAGTTTTGCATAACAAATTAGCTTCAAACCTATTGATGACTAATTATGAACCGAAATAAGACCTCTATTCAAAGATTATTGCGGACCGTTTTATTAACAGGGGCGTTTAATGTTGGTGTAGTCTAGGAAACATGGAGGAGGCAGGCAGGAGACTCCCTGAGGCAGAACTAATTCAAGGACACTGAGTTTCTAGATTTTGGTTTATGAACAGATTCAAAAAGAACAAAATGACAAAATTAGATCCAGTTTAGACACATAAGATGGCAAGGTCATAATTCTCATCTTTAGGTTATAATGGTTTTCTACAACTACACTTATCTTTTCCTTTTACAACACATTATTATCTTAAGAGCTAATTTATACCCATGTCCTTTACAGCTTTAAAATCCTATTTTCAATATGTTCACCTTGAAACACTTTGAGGCAAAAAGCATGCAGAAAAATTCATTGCTTTTCACTTTGCATTCTGCTGAAGCAGGGTGAGGGGGGGGGGGGGGGGTTTTTCGCTCCTGCACAGAACAACCACCATACCAGCCTCAGTAAACATGCCGAACATGCTGTCAGACGTGTGACGCTGACGAGGCAGGTCTCAGGTCAGCCAGGTTTTCATTTCAGTGAAGCTGTCACGTGGGAAAACCGAAACAGACTGATGTTTTGGTTTTATTTGACTTTTTTTCTTTTGTTTTAACCATCCTAAGTCGTGGCCCCTTCCAAACCTGGACTCCATGAAGGTGACGCCCCAGCAGCTCTGTGATGAGGGCTGGGACAGAAGGCACAGATGCGGCGGGATGTTGTGTAACACTGCGGCGGCGCTGCTCCATGTGGAGGAGAGCCGGGTGGGGGGATGGGGTGCACTAGTTTGTGGGTGTAGTGTGTGAGACAACATGAGCAGCTCAGGGCGTGGTCAGCTTTTCTCCGATTGTTGTAAAACTGCTCATAACGTTTGTTTGGGGGAGGGCAGGGGGGAGGGGGGACGAAATCTGACTTACAGTCAGTGAAGGTTCTCCCTGCCTGGTCGGCTGTGAAAAATACCCAACATTTATTCCTGCTTGAGGTGAGCAATGATGTAGTTTAGTGTTAAAAAAAAAAAAAAAAAACTTAAATGGAAATGCAACACAGTAAAGACACCAGAAGCAACCTGCTGACATCTCATCCTTTCTGATGATGATTGGATTAGACAGCAATTAGTTCACAAACAACTTGTTTACTGACTGAAGTGAAATGAGTGGATAAAAATATACTTCTGCTCTCCAGCAATGGCAGATGCAGACGCATTAACAGCCTTGGTAAAGATGTGCAAAAAGTTTTAAAGTAAATGAAGATTTTGTTGCAGTAGTATAAACTCACCCTAACTTTGCCCCCTACCCCCAAATAATCCAACATTTGAATATACTGTATTTATATTGGGTGGGGAAAAATAATCTACAAATAAATAATTGCTATTCACCAAGTCATTCTTGTAGCCTCAGCTGTGAGTAATCTTTTTTTTTTACCAGTTTGGCAACACGTAGTTTCTCCAGCAGTATTTTTTACAGTGTTGGAGGATTTTGGAGAGAGTGATCTGGGACGTATTATTCTTGGAAATATTTTTATTTTCCCTTCTCCTTTAAATTGCCAGCCAGTTGTTTGAACACACACCTTTTTGTTCTTTGAGTCCTAAAGCTGATCCTAATTAGCTTTAAGGCTAATTTGAGCTCATTCCACTGTTCTCAAGACAAGCTGGTTCTTAAATATACATCCTCTGCACCTTTCTGCTGGTTTTTGTTTTTCCTGTAGATCATTCTGTCATTTTTATGAATAAAAAAGCGTGAAGAAAAACATTCTTATTTAAATAAAACAGCTATTATTTTTTGATAATCAGGTGGTACCTGGACTTGATTTTGATCTAAGTTATTCACTTTCACTTATTATTCGAAGCCTACTGCTCCATAAAAGTTGTTGATCAGATATGTAAATATATATATTTTTTTCTAAAACCATTCTGCTTTCCCCACCCATTTATTTATTTATTTATTTATTTTTTACTTCACAGGTCACCTTCAAGCCACACCCTGACTGCCGGTACACCAGGAGAGTCCCAATGCTGTGATAAAACCAATGCGAGAAACATAAATGAGGAGAAGAGGTGATATATTTTCAGATCTACTTCTTCTCGGATGTTCAAGCTCCACTTATCCAACCTTATGTCTTCTGCTGCTTTTTATTTATCGAGTTCATGCAAAGCTGCTCCAGCACGTCTCATAGTGATAATGAAATGGGTGAGGGTTGAGAAAAGAGACACATGTTCAGTCCCATCCCTTCTTTCACACCTCGGAGATGATTGGCTTGGATTTTCTGTGTGTGTGTGTGTGTGTGTG